CCATTGAGAGAGAGAGAGAGAGAGAGAGAGAGAGAGAGAGTACAAATGTAGAAAAAAGTTTTACTTAAATTCATTTACGAAGATATATACAGAAAATAGTGTGTCAACTCATTTAGGACTTAAAACGGTGTATTTGTTATACAAATTGTAGTCAATGAGCAAAACTATTTCTATTAATAGCCTCTCTCTCTCTCTCTCTCGGCTTTACATTTAATTTCTTATAAAAGTTTTTAATTTAAGTTTTTTAACCTAAAAATTGGGATAATATACTGAAACCACTTATTTTAAGACCAATCAAAATGTTGTTAACTTTTTCTGCACATTCAGTATAATAATTAAATTGACTGCTTTAACTAAATTACTAAATAGTGATTATTAATCAGTGATAACACAAATTACACACATTATACAATACATTTTCTATATTATCTTAGATTGAGTGTCAGTTTACTATTTCAATTAGTAAATTAATATTGTATAATAAGTTGCGCCAACTTTTACGTTAAGTTTATGTAACGCCAATAATAACTTAATTCTAAACATGTATTGCATATAATTTGCATTTCAATTATAATTGGGAAATATATTTGAAGTACATTTCCGAAATGATGACATTTATTCACTTTAAACTTACAAATATTAGATATATTAGATTTATATTGCATTTGAAACTATTGAATAAAATGTTGAGATAATAAGCAATTTGTATGACTAAAGTGGTGCGGTTTGGGCGACGCGGCCGATACTTACGATGATTTGGGCACAAAACGTGATATAGACGTGTGTTGTCGAGCACATGATCACTGTCCCATCCGACTGAAGGTGAAATCATAAGACTGCCATATAATCTCATTCAATGATATAATATGTCACTGATATTAAATTCTTACCTTTTGATTGATAGGCACTTCGTTTTGGTTACGGTTTAATAAATCTGTCGTTATATACAAAGTTTGTATATTTTTTATTGATATCCAAAATGATTTACGATTCCATCAAATTTATAATGTTTTTTAAAGAATTTGGATTTAAGTGTCCATTTTTAACCTGATTTTCATAATATTATACACATTACATAAACAGATCTCATTGTGATTGTGATGAAGACTTTCTAAAATGTCTAAAACGATCTCGTAATTCATACGCACAAATGTTAGGCAACTTTTATTTTAATGTCTTAAAAGTCCAGTGCATTAAAGAGGAGAGACCTGTCGTGTGTCTGGAAATCAGGTTTGATTATTTTTTATTGCAAATTTTCATATCAACGTTAAAACTTTTATTAACGCATTATTAATGACAACTAAATTGAATGTAATGTTTGTCGCAATGAATGTTCAGAAAGAATAGCAGCGGTAAAGAAGAGTGCGTTAAATATGAGGTCTCGAGTGAATCTAAGATGAAGTTTGTGACACCAGAACTCCTATATTAAGTCAACTAAACCTTAAGTCCTGTTTTTAGTTTAAATTTTCATTTTCATTCATTTTAAATGTAAAGTTTTCTTTAAAATATTAATCGTTTTATCTCACGCTTAGAAATGTATTAAAAAGTATATATTTTCCAAATACACATTTGTTAAATATTTTTAAAAATATGCCCTTAAAGTTGTTTTTATATAAATATATTGTATGCAAAATATTTTAATAGTTTATTAATTATTTGTAATAAAATGATACCAAAAATAAAATCATGACAAAAAAGTCAAAAAGTGAAACTCATTTCATTGAATGATTATGAAATATTAGTGTTAATATCAATAAATCTAAAAACAACTGGAATTACAACTACAGGTAATGCATACGAATACTCAACGATCAGATTCTGTAGTCAAAAGTAAAGCATTGAAGGACTCGTAGAACTCATAATTTGTACTAACTTTAATGTATTGACTTATTTCAGCATGATCTTTTAGTGGAAAAATAATAACAATTTCTTTGAGCAAATATATTGCAAGAAAGTCAATAAAGCCATTAGTTTAGTGCTATACTTAATATAGTTATGTAATATCGTTTATATCTCAAATTCTTACTGTGCATTCAATTTCCAAAACATATTTTAACTTTAGTATCAAATAAAAATTTTTTTGATGGAAATTATTTATAAACGGATGAACTTTTTATCAAACTTTTCTGAGTCTTACTCTCTTTTCTTTGTATAAATCTGTGATAAAATGCAAAGTTTGCCACAATTTCATAACATATGTAATGGAATACTAATTACAAAATTTATAAACGGATGAACTTTTTATCAAACTTTTCTGAGTCTTACTCTCTTTTCTTTGTATAAATCTGTGATAAAATGCAAAGTTTGCCACAATTTCATAACATATGTAATGGAATACTAATTACAAAATTTAAACACAATTTGTTTTAAATTCAACAAAAGATGGAAAATTTATTTTGTTGTAAAATCACATGATAAGGAAATTTAAATTTTACATCATTGGTAACAGTAACAAGAGTTATACAAACACTATTATAAACGGATGAACTTTTTATCAAACTTTTCTGAGTCTTACTCTCTTTTCTTTGTATAAATCTGTGATAAAATGCAAAGTTTGCCACAATTTCATAACATATGTAATGGAATACTAATTACAAAATAAGTATCAGAAAAATTTAAACACAATTTGTTTTAAATTCAACAAAAGATGGAAAATTTATTTTGTTGTAAAATCACATGATAAGGAAATTTAAATTTTACATCATTGGTAACAGTAACAAGAGTTATACAAACACTATACAGTACTATACCATAACGAAAACAATACTTATCAACAATTTGCCATAGATTTAGTTAAATGCAAACATTTTTTGGGAACAATTAGACAAAAACCAATTGTTATAACACAAAGGTTTGAAATTAAACTCTTCTCAAATAATGTCTATAATAATAATGTTTGACTACTTGTGAGACACCCTGTATTACTATATATGGTATACAATTAGTATGTGATCGTTATAGTTATGTAATACTCTGTTGTTTGTGCCGTTAGTTTAATATCTAATATATTTGCTAATAAAATAAATTTTTTATTGAAATTAATTATTTTGATAAAAGAAATACAAATAAAATAAATTCCTAATAATCTAATAAAACTCAATAAGTAATAAAACATAAACTAATTTGAATAAAATTATAATAAAATACTTTCTGTTTTTTCATTTTAATACCTAATAAATCTTTCTCTCAGCTCTTCTCAAACCCATTTGTTTTTGTTGTAAATTTGAATAATTGTTATAAAAGTAATATTAATATTATATAATATTATGTAATATGAATCCCAGTTAAAATCAATTATAATAATTAATATAATACTGTATAAATCAAATTATGATTAAAATATTGTCAAAATGAGCTAAAATATGATAGAATTACATAAAATATAATTTCAACAATTATTAAGAATTAGTATCTTTTTTTGATCAAAAATTCAAAACTCTTTATAACATATAATAACTATTAAAACAAATATTTTAGTGATTTTTAAAACTCCAAATTAATCACAATATTCTTGAAATAACATTTTGCCTAATATTCTCGTTTCAACGCAATTACGGTTTCACTCCGTTATTCATTTTGGAGCTCTTATTCCATTCATTCTTCGACGACAAGTTGTACATCGAATACGAGGAATCATTGGTTACCTCTTTGACAATCTTCAGGAATTGCGGTAATTTCGGTGTGTTTTCCCTACTCTTTAATGTCGTGTACGTCTCCAACAGTATAAGCCCTTCGCAACGCTTATTGCATGGATTCTTATAGATATCCAATTGGAAGTAAATGTCTTCCCAAAGAAAACAGCGCCGAGTCTTGTAAACAGTTAAGTGAGAGTCGTCTCTCTGAGACAACATATTCTGTGAGAAACAACACAAAACCATTCAATCAATCGATTAAACCATCATTAATGACATACAAAATGCAATGCCCTTACGATATAATCTCGATGAGTGATCTGTCGCCTCAGTTCCACAGCTTTATCTCCGGCATCACTCCTGCGGACGGTGTGCTGATAACTCCATTTGCCTGACGAACACATCCAAGCAATTCATGTTAATTATCACACCATTCATACAACACTCAAAGTGCTTACCATTTTGTCCGCGTTTTCGTAAACGGGATTGTATTTTGTTGTTAGAAGAGGTCAAGTAGTCGTGAACCACTTCAAAGTCTTGGAAGGGCGGGAACATCGTGTCGGTCGGCATGCCTTCGACCAAGAATTTGAATTTGCGACTCGTGGGCGCCAATCGGTCGCCGGCGTCAATGCCCATACGTTTGCACACATTGGCAATCATTCGCTTCAATTTGGTGTCAAAATCGGTGGAGTTGTCGATCACATCGATATACGGGTGTCCGACCCACGCCTCGACGGTCATCTTATCGAGATGTCTCGCCTGTTCCAGACCTTCCGTACGGCACGGGTTGTCCTCAATGTTATAGTAAGCTTCGGCTCCGTTGGCGGCGGTATTCAAATGAATCACTTGATTGTAGCGATTGTCGCGCAACTCCACGGCATTCCAGCCGTTGCTTTTGAGGACGCGATCCCAGGACTCTTTGGACATATAGGCGGCCGCATCCATGATTCCGCGGTCGCAGATCACCAGAACGTTGCGTTTGGAGGAATCGGCCAAATCAAAGAATGTCGTTTCCGTCGCTAACATCACGCGAATCAGGTTCTCCTGGAACTTGTCGGCCGCCTCTGGGCTCAGGTCCGGGAATCGTATGCCACCGCTGAACAAAGTGGTGGCCGTTTCGGGCACTCTATACACTTTCCATCCCAGGTTCTCGAAGAATGTGCTGAGTCTCGCCTGTCCTGTGGTCTTCCCACTGCACGGCCCGCCCGTCAGCACCAGCTTATAGACCATACGCTCGCCGGACGTCTTCTTCTCCTGGTCTGGACTCATGGCTCGTATCGCTCGTTGCGGTCGATAGATATCAACCAATTGGTTAACTCGAGAGGAAGTGGTGAGAAGACAACGATTCACCACAACATTGGCGTTCAATACGATTGAAATGCTTTTGATATAACGTTTGATCTGAATATGGGTTAAGGAATGACTCAATAGTTATAACAAATAATATAAATCTAATAATGAATATAACTATTAATAGTATTTATATATATATTTAAAAAACTATAATTAGTTTTGTGTATCAAAAGCAGTGTTTCATATGTTTAGTGAACGCCATGTGATGTATGAATGGCTTAAATGAGTGAATACTTCGCACAATATATAGGAATCAAAACAAAACACTGTTTTTCTCATAAGAATAGAGACAGGAATTGGTCTCCAATTGAACGCAACATTGAATTGAGTGCTAAATAACTATTGCTTTCACTGAAGCTATCATTCAATACAAGAATCGCATTCACTATAGAAGGCATTCACTGCTTATGTGCCTCACATTTACCACACATTTAATGCACTTTTTATACATGTATTACACAATACTTTTCAATACAATCCACTGTTTCTATCAGTTATATAGCGATTCATTACAAACGATGCTTACGTTTAGGTCTCCATCTATGGGTTCACTTCACTGCACGGCTCACACATGCAGTGTATGTGTTGTGTTGTGTCACGTGATTCACACTCACATCCAAGTCATACCATTTCCATTTGGTCCGCAAGACATCACTTCCAGACACACCTCCAGACACACGTCCACTCACTCGCGTCCACACAATGGCTGAGACGACAGGCGATGGTGTGGTCGTCGGCGGCGGCGAAAGCGGTGACCAAAAAGTGATCCTTTTTAGCGAATTAAGGGATGCGTTGATCGGCGATCAGCGAAGACCGCGACAAAACATGTTTGTGCCCATGATATTAGGCGGACAGCCCTTCAAGACTAAGGAGGAACTCATGATCGAAAAGGCGATCGAGAGCTGTGCCTTCAAGTCTGGTCTGTCGTGTGTAATGGGTTTCGGTTTGGGCGCCGCTATCGGCCTCTTCTCGGCCAGTGTCGGTCCGGAAGCGCTTCAAACGGAACCGCAAACACAAAGCGTGAAACAGGTTTTTAAGGAGATGAGAGTGAAGACCATGTCTTACGCCAAGAACTTTGCCATTTTGGGCGCTATGTTTGCCGCCATCGAGTGTACCATTGAATCGGTATCTAATGATTGCGATATATGTTTGGCATTGAATTGTAATGTATTTTTGGGGTACAGTATAGGGGAAAGACTGATTGGAAGAACGGAACGCTGGCCGGAGGGGTCACCGGAGGTCTCATTGGCCTCAGAGGTATGTTTTCGGTTGCATTCATTGATGATATTTATTAAGACACGAATATATCGTTTACAGCGGGAGTAAAGGGAGGAATATTAGGCGCCGCCGGTTTCGCCGCCTTCTCCACAATCATTGATTATTATTTGCGTTAAGAAATAGTTTTAAATTTCTAGTAAATCATTGAACTATTTATTGTAAATATAATATAATGTTTGAGTCAAACAGTGACTGATATTTGTTATTAGTTTTTTTTATAAATAAAAATTACCTTTTTATTAGATATATTTTAATATCCATTTTATAGATCAAGTCATTTATTTTACTAGTGATTAAATTACTTTATATTTAATAACAAATAAATAATATAATTTCCCAAACATTGATAGAATTCAAACCATACGAATATATCGTTTACAGCGGGAGTAAAGGGAGGAATATTAGGCGCCGCCGGTTTCGCCGCCTTCTCCACAATCATTGATTATTATTTGCGTTAAGAAATAGTTTTAAATTTCTAGTAAATCATTGGACTATTTATTGTAAATATAATATAATGTTTGAGTCAAACAGTGACTGATATTTGTTATTAGCTTTTATTAGATATATTTTAATATCCATTTTATAGATCAAGTCATTTATTTTACTAGTGATTAAATTACTTTATATTTAATAACAAATAAATAATATAATTTCCCAAACATTGATAGAATTCAAACCAATTGATATAAAAGTCAAACAATTGTCAAAACTGTGGCCAATAATTGTGTCCACATTTAACGTAAATATAAACTTAATTTCACAAACAATACAAATCCCTAAAAAATGAGAATTACAATGAAAGCCGGTATAGGAAATGGATTAACCATTCAATACATCAAACATGATGTCAATGTATTTATTGTGGTTTATTGAGGAACTTTGTGTTACGTATGGAACTACTTCTCTTGAGAACGGATTGGATTTTGGTTTTGCGATTCTCGAAGTTTTGTTGCATAAGAGCCACACTCACAGCTTTGGGCATATCTGGCACTACGTATGATATAATGAGAATCACACCTAATATGAAATGCTGTAAACAAATAGTTTTTAAAAATAATAAGTTAATTAAACCGCAACTTAAATTACGTTTGGAGACTCCGCTGGTATTCTACCTTTAATAACTAAACGTTTCATAACCGCTAGCTCTCCTGTCACCCTCTGTATGTATCTTCGCGTGTCAAACAATAAACAGCTATTATACTCATCACTTCAAATGCTTTCTGTAAATAAATAATTAATGAATTGTAGTATAAGAGGAGACATTGAATGTGAGTGTGATTCATACCATCCACGAACCACTAATACTTTTGGCCGATCTTTGATGAGATCTCTTGTATCCGAAGCATAATTTCAGTGAATCCGAACGAATTTCAATCATATTATTGCAAAACGCAATGATTGGCGCCAATGGAAAGATCGATAGAAACAGAAACACATAACCGAATTGGATATAAAGCTCTAAATAATCATAATATGTGCCCTAATTATGTGAAATGAATTGATTATATAACGTATAAATGGTTCCAAAGTCTCAAATGCAGACCTCATATGCAGGCAATTGTTTTTCATAATTAATTCTGGCGATTGTCGGCAACACATCAGACTTTTTGCGCTTTAACTCAAAGTCCTTATGAAGTCTATAAGTCTTAAAGAGAGGAATGAATACTTCTTGAATATTATCCACCAATTGGTTGACGACAAGCATTGTTCCCAATTGCTATCAATAGTACGACAATTAGATATCTTCTGATTACGTGATGAATGTCTTGTGTTAACCACTGGTTTGTTACTGACTTCTGAAACACCACTTCCATTGACCACATTCTTCTTGTCCGTCACTTTACTATCACTTTTCACAACACTTTTAGCCGTATTTATGTCATTATCTTTTGCTGCTATAGTTTTGACACCAGAGGAAGAAAGTCTTGAGTAACTGATTGGCGGGATTTTCCTTAACCCATATTTACCATTGGATCCAATCATACCATTCAACGGCGTTTGCGACAAATGTCTGCCCGACTTTCTGACCATCGCCTCATCGACGGGTGATTTCCCACTTTTGGCGATCGCCGGAAGAGTTGTCTTGTGTTTAATTGTCTTCCGAGTGGACACAACCATTGCGTCCACCGATCGGACACTTAATCGTTGACTTTTGCTTCGATTTTCGACCATTTCTTTCATTGTTTATACGAAACGACAAAATGAGTCCACAATTAAACTCAACACTCGTTTCGTTAAGTAATTAACAAATGATTTGTGATTTAAAAACACAAAACAAAACATTATTTTTCAAACAAACCATTCATTCATTATTTACACCATTTTTTTGAACTCAATTTCACGTCAAACACATTAAACACGTTATGTTTGAGCCATAATTCCGGACGTTATTTATGTGTGTTTTGTATACACTTTTAAATAACTTTTTTTTCGCATAAGTTTTTTAACACTAAAATTAAACCCATTTCACGTCAAACACATTAAACACGTTATGTTTGAGCCATAATTCCGGACGTTATTTATGTGTGTTTTGTATACACTTTTAAATAACTTTTTTTTCGCATAAGTTTTTTAACACTAAAATTAAACCCATATTTGAATTATAAATAAATCTATTAATAGTTTTTAAATATTATTAATGTTTAAAATGTGTTTAATTTTATGATTAATGCTTTAATTGTTTGTTTGGTTTGACTTTCATTTGTTTTAGCAATAGTTTTGCAGTGGATTTAGACGTGATTTGAGTTTACTTTTTGATACATTTTTGCCACAAAATAGTGTAAATAATAGTAATATTTGCAGAGAAAGTGATCCGTGGATCAGATCTGCAGACATATAATGCAAAGAAAACAGTCGTCCGCCTCTTCTCTCACCGAAAGACAATCGCTTTTGGATCAGATATCGTGCGAATGGAGTGACCACAAGAATCTCGACCACTATATCGTTGTTATCAATGGTTTGACGCAAAATATAACAATCAAATGGCTGTTGGATTTGCTGCAGAAGTCTTCGCCCGAAACCGGCGCCCATTTCCTACTTAACCGAATTGAAGACAATAATGAGTCCGATATAACACTACATGTGAGCGCTTCCAACGCCTCTTTCAATATCAGCGCCGATGCCATCGATTTAAAGCAATTCAAATCAGACCAGTCTTTATGTCGAGTGTTTCGGATCTCCGATCACGACATCGACTCCGAAGACTGTTTGACAGTATCTGAAAGACAACGCGTTTTGCTCTTCCAATTGGAAAGTCTTCACTCCATTGAAAGAGGTTTTTATCTCTTTATTGCCATTCATTTGTTAATTGATTTAATGTTTAATAGGAGTGTTGTTTGGATACCCGAATGTAAAGCTATATCCGGGACAGTCTATCCGTGAGTTGACGCCAACCATATTATTGATGCATTAGATGTTTATTAGTGTGAAATACATTGTTTGCAGTGCAAGTCTGTCAGCGCGAGAACATTATCACCGAATACTTCCCACTCCACGAGTCGTCAACTTTGGACGAACTCAAGAAGAAGTGGTGCTTTTCGTGGAAGAAACAGCCAATTCGTATGCATTTCTATTGACCCGTCGTTTTGGTCACTCATACTTAATCCATGTATTGATCTGTTTTTCAGACGATATTCGTAACTATTTTGGAGAGAAGATTGCATTTTATTTTGCATTTTTAGAGTTCTATACCTATAGTCTATTAATTCCGGGATTGTTTGGATTCTTTCACTTCCTATTTCTCGACGAAATGAATATATTTTGCGCTCTTTTTTATATGCTTTGGATTCCCGTATTTCTCGGACAGTGGAAGAGAAAGTCCAATGACTTGGCCTTCAGATGGGGAACCATTGGTGACGTGCAACTGGAGGGCCCGCGACCAACATTTCGCGGCAAAACCATGAAAACTGATCCCATAACCAAACAATTGACTCCAATTTATCCCATATATAAGACGTGGTTAAGAGAGTACTGCGTTTCGCTGCCTATAGTTTTCTTCAGTCTCGGCGTCTCTTTTCATGTGATGTGTCTATACTTTAAACTAGAAGAAGATGTACTCAATTCCTTAGACCCAAATCCCACTGGCATTCAAAAAGTGATAAGTTTTATGCCCGGAATTATATACGCTCTCATTGTTATGATTATGAATAACATATACCGACAAATCGCTACTAAACTCAACGAATGGGGTTTGAAATGAAACTTTTAAAACACTTGTATTAAGTTTTTGTAATTTTGATTTTTTTTCTTTGCAGAAAACCATAGAACACAGACATCCCATGAGAATCATTGGATTGTGAAATTAGTTTTGGTATAAACTTGTATTAAAATGTTTGACAAATAATGTTATAAACATTTTTATTTTGCAAACATATTTTAGTTTGAATTTGTAAACAATTTTATGAGCCTTTTCTACATTGGATTCTATCTGAAAGATTTACAAATGTTAAAATGGGTTCGTATTCTTGTATTCATTTATCTTTCTGTAAAATACATCTAATTGTCGTACTATTGATAGCAATTGGGAACAATGCTTGTCGTCAACCAATTGGTGGATAATATTCAAGAAGTATTCATTCCTCTCTTTAAGACTTATAGACTTCATAAGGACTTTGAGTTAAATTCTAATTGTCGTACAATTGATAGCAATTGGGAACAATGCTTGTCGTCAACCAATTGGTGGATAATATTCAAGAAGTATTCATTCCTCTCTTTAAGACTTATAGACTTCATAAGGACTTTGAGTTAAATCACAAAAAGTCTGATGTGTTGCCGACAATCGCCAGAATTAATTATGAGAAACAATTGCCTGCATATGAGGTCTGCAATTGAGACTTTTGAACCATTTATACGTTATATAATCAATTCATTTCACATAATTAGGGCACATATTATGATTATTTAGAGCTTTATATCCAATTCGGTTATGTGTTTCTGTTTCTGTCGATCTTTCCATTGGCGCCAATCATTGCGTTTTGCAATAATATGATTGAAATCCGTTCCGATTCACTGAAATTATGCTTCGGATACAAGAGATCTCACCAAAGATCGGCCAAAAGTATTAGTGGTTCGTGGATGGTATGAATCACACTCACATTCAATGTCTCCTCTTATACTACAATTCATTTATTATTTATTAACAGAAAGCATTTGAAGTGATGAGTATAATAGCTGTCATAACAAACTGTGCGCTTCTATGTATGTCTCCCACTGTCCTCTCGATCGCCAATACTTTGCAAATCAATAATTTCCATCTTATGGTCGCCTCAGAGGTTTGCATTAAATTCAACGCCAAATTAATTGTTATTATTTTTAAAAACTATTTGTTTACAGCATTTCATATTAGGTGTGATTCTCATTATATCATACGTAGTGCCAGATATGCCCAAAGCTGTGAGTGTGGCTCTTATGCAACAAAACTTCGAGAATCGCAAANTCTCTCTCTCTCTCTCCCCAACAGTTCCGTCGGCGCCGCCGCCCGTCTCCGGCCATCCCTATCGGGACATCACGTGTCTGTCTGTCTGCCTGTCCGGCTGTCTGTCCGACTGTCTGTCTGTCTGTCTGTCTGTCCGCCCGTCGCCGCCGTCGCCCCAAAAGGTTTGTGTTGTGTTGTGTTGTGTTGTCTCTCAATCTCTCTCTCTCTCTCTCCCCAACAGTTCCGTCGGCGCCGCCGCCCGTCTCCGGCCATCCCTATCGGGACATCACGTGTCTGTCTGTCTGTCCGGCTGTCTGTCCGCTCGTTGCCGTCAGTTTAAAAGGTTAGTACTCTCTCTCTCTCTCTTTTTCTCTCTCTCTCTCTCGATTTGACTGCCCGACCAACCGGTGCACTGGGCCCGAGACCGCTGGCTTTGGTGGTGCGGGCAATGCTTTACATGTAATCTAATATTAATATTAATGATTTATTTATGTTAAACAATACAGTATTGACCGCCCCTTCTGTCTGCGCTATCAATGGATTTCCCGGATGTCTTCAATTGGCTTAACAATGCCGAAAGCAAAGATCGGATTCAATTCTTCCGGTTGTGCGCTAAGACACTGAAAGACAAAGAAGAAATCAATTCAGCGGCAAATGCTGTTAACGATGCGAAGAAACGATTGATTTGGTTGACAACACAAACAAAATGCAAAACCAAACACAAGTCTACTTTGGTATCGACCGCTTCCACATCGACCGCAAGCGCCACCAAAGCCAGCGGTCTCGGACCCAGTGCACCGGTTGGCCGGTCAGTCAAACCACGTTATATATCAATCGACGCCGAGTTTGTGACACTCAAAGTTCCGACGCGAATCAAATCGGAGCGAAACATTGCCGCTACTGTTTGTATTGTAGACCAAGACAATACAGTATTAATGAACGTCAAGATCAAACACGATCCCGGTTCATTTACAAGTCATGAGCCGTGTTTTTTCGGACAGCACGACTTTGTTGACGGCGAATCGCTTGACGACGTCAAACAGAAAATTCTTGATATTTTCGACAATTTCGACACTATTATCACGTGTAACTGGTTATCGGATATGGAAGCACTGCGGCTTCTCGACTATCAAGATCTATATTTTGACAAAATATGGGATCTTCACAATGTGTTCCGATCACATAGTACTGAGTACTATAGACAGGAAGATCCGTCGGTATCGCAGTCAATAAGTTTGGCCCGCATTCACTACAAACTATTTGCCGAAGAGATTCAAAAGGATAAACATTCTGCCAAAGAAGACGCTGTCGCAGCCCTCGCCATCTATAAAGAAATCGATTCGAAACGATATCAAGTTGAATATGATGTGTATTTTGATCATTCAATTTATCACACAATATGGGATGGAGCTTATAATGGTGATAATTGGCCCGATCCTCCAACTATTGCTAAAAAGAAACTCAAAAATATTCAAAAACGACAACGAAATCGATTGTTTAAAATGAATAAAAACTAATTGTTTACAGAATTTATTGTATTTTACTTTTATTTCTCATTAACTATTTGTTTGTATTTAAACTATTACCCTTTATAGTTTAGTGATATATGGCACTGGGTCCGAGACCGCTGGCCATATATCTATACATACATTCAATCCATTCATTTGATTCAATCCATTCATTTGATTCAATCCATTCATTTGATTCAAACCATTCAATTGATTCAATCCATTCATTTGATTCAATCCATTCATTTGATTCAATCCATTCAATTGATTCAATTCGTATTTTATTTCAAAAGAAATTAATAGTACAGATAATTTAGTAATTATTCAGTTAATGCATACAATGAAGGGATTTGAGGCACTGGGTCCGAGACCGCTGGCCTTAGGTCAGCCATTGTAAATGGTTCTCCCAATTGAATGAGATCATCTTCTTGATTTTCAATCTCATCTAATGGATTAGTGTTATTCAATTTATACTTAAGGGCCCATTGGATTCTCATTAAACTCTCAACAGTGTTATCCTTTAATCTGTTTCTTGATTTTGTGTGAGTTCTTGTTTGTTGAGAAAATGACCGCTCCGTCGCCGCGTTTGAAGCGGGAATAGATAATAATCTCATTCCAATTGTAGCCAAGGGTTTAAATTCAGAAAATTTAAGAAAGTATTGCCAATACTTTGAAGGGCTTTGAATTGAAATAAGTTTAGAGCCGAATAGTTTCTCGTTTTGTCTAAACATTTCAATGCTTTCGGCTAAACTCGAAATATCATCAGATGATAATCCAATTGCTTTTGCATATGAATCGAGGGTTTCATACACTAGTGTTATTAATTCAAAGTCTGTTCCAATTAAATCTGTTGATCTGTATCGTGGATCCAAATAATACGCCAAATAGTGATACATATTAACAAATGTGTTTCCAAAACGATTAGTAAACAAATCACAAGCAAACTCTTCCTCTTCATCTGTTAAAAATTGTCTCGTGTTGTTAACGAACTCCATTTTAATATCATAAAAAACTTTAATCACATCTGAAATCACAGACGAATTTCGTTCAAGTATTGCAATTCCTATAATTAATAAAAAGTTAAGGTATATAATTAGACCAGCGGTCTCGGACCCAGTGTTTAATTATATACCTTCTATTATGGGATCCAAAAATTTGAAAATTTTCTTCATTTTATACCAATAATCGTCACATTTAATAATGGTTTTGATACCGGTTTCAATTTCACACTCGTCATCAATTGCTAATCTCAAAAGTACTCTTTGGGAGTTAATCAGTGAACATAACATATTCTTCACACTATACCATCGCGTGGCCGCAAATAATGTAAGATTTCTTTTGCTGACATCATTTCCTATTAGTGTCTGTTCATTTGAATAACGATCCCATTCGATATCAAACATACGCTTAATAACAGATGATTGGTTTATTTCATTGACAATTGACTTAGACATTGTAATCGTTGAGTGAATAGTTTCTAATTTGCAAATATCATTGATAAGCAAATTAAGAACATGAGCCGAACACCTGACTCCTATTATATTAGGACTTTTCTCAACTATTTTTGTTTGGGCTTTTATCATATTTGACCCATTATCTGATATTATTGCACAAACTTTGTCTGGATTTATTTCATACATAACTTCACGAATGACTCTTTTGATCACTTTATAATCACAATGAATATCTTTAATTGCAATTGATTTATAAAAGATTGGTTCAGGTGTGAGAAGTATAACATTTAATACTTCTGAATGTCTTGTATTATTCCATCCATCGATTCCAATAGTAAACACATTGTATTCAGTCATTAGATTTTCAATTATTTTTTCGCTTTTGTTGTTTAATTCCGGAACAATTAAATTTGTTATTTCATATATTGTAGGAATTTTATAGAGTTTATTAATCTTCTGTAGAAATAATTTTAGATAACTGTTATTAATCCACTGGAAAGGTATGTTTCCAGAAATCATTGCTGATAATAACAATTCATTTAAATCATCGTTTTGCAAATTATCTAATTTTGTTACAAAGCGATCAATTGTTTGATTGGCTCTCGATGGCGATGGCAATACATTTCTAGAAGTTGATGGCAGCACTGGGTCCGAGACCGCTGGCAACCTATCAACTTCTCGCGTATTTGTCGATTCAATTTGTGTTACAAATTCGATATCTTGTGAATCGCTCTCTGAATCCTCGGCCATTGAAATCATAACTTTTTCTTTTTTTTGAATTATACGTTTAGTTTTAATGACGTTTTGAAAGTATTTTCTCTCTTTGTCTGGCATTCCTCTGCATTGTGATGAATGAAAGCGGCATTTCATTGCATGTCTTAATTGTTTATTTGAACAATGAATACATTGCACTCTTTCTGTCTTTCCATGTCCAGAGACATGTATCCAGTGATTCCACAACACATCACGTAAAATCTTAGGCATTTTTTAGTACTGTTAGATTACATTTTATGATAAAACATTAGTTCTTGGCCAGCGGTCTCGGACCCAGTGCCTACTCAATGAATGTTATCACCCATTCATAACACTGTCCGGCCATATTGGATTTCTTATACATGTAGCACTCATAGGGCACCACTTTTGAATAAATCTACCGGCTCACCGACATGACTGACATCTATGTTAGATGGCTTAAAATGCGCGCATCAATGTCGACAATATTATGAAAAACATTTAGTTTTAATATTCATAGTAGTTTTCGAGAAAAATACAAAATACCGTCGATATGGCGGACGCCGGGCGGACAAAATACGCGCCCTTATAAACGTCCGGCGGGGGCCTTACGCCCGAAACGCCCTGGCGGGTGTTATTTCCCTAGTTTTAATGTTTGAAATGTTGACGTATTTGTTGTGTCCATCCATTCATTCACATTATTATCATTACTATTATAACGCGATCGTAAGATCTCAAGGGTTTTAATAAGAATTTTCCTATATCTTGCTCTCCATGAATGTACACCCGTTTCAATCCATATTATATACCTTTTAATGTATATATTTTTAATTAATATTAAATATAATAACATATTTAAAACATATTTTACTTTTGTCTGAAAAGTTGTTTAATCCTATAGTCGAGTCGTTTGCTCACTAATACCCCACCGATTGCTAGCATTGAGTTATCGTTTGATTTATGGAGGGGTAGGGATGGGAACAGATCTATCATATGATCGATAGTGTCTTCGGGTCCTATGAATACTGCATTTTCACTCAATATATCCTTTAATATTGGTATGAATAGTATATGATGTGGGTCTTTGTGTTTATACTTCAATGTTGGATATTTATTCTAATTGTTTTATAAATTCATTATAATTATAACTGTTATAATCGTATTATCAAATTAGTGAATATTATAAATTCACTTACCTTGATATGTGTTTTGAAAATATAACCTGCTTTACTTATTAATACTGTTAAACTTGTGTCGACGATATTTTCAATACTGTCTATCCTTCTGATTGGAGTATTCGCTAAATTGGATAGAAATTCATTGACAAACAATTGGTTCCAAAACAGACAGTTTGCTATCCATAATGAAAATACAATATTCGATAATGTGCTAGCTCGAATATATTTACTAATCGTAGCTGTATATCAAAATTAATTTTATAAATAAATAATTAATTGTTAAAAATGATTATAGCCTTACATTTTGAGATTAACGATAGAAATAAATCTAATCCAATGTGCATAGCTATATGTTTAATATCCAAATTATGTTTACGATGTATCAATATTGTTAAAACACACAAACATATAATAAATATAAACAATATGGCCATCCAAGTAGACACGCGAAACGAACTGATCAAGGTAAATTTGCCATATTCCCGTACATCACTTGATAATATGGTTACTAAACTAGAAACTAATGTGGGGTATATTGGGTCACATTTAGACAATCTATCATTTGTAAAAACTAAGCCTGTGCCAGGCATGTCAGCTCTCTATTATAAATAGTTTTTTTTAATATTTTATAATATTTATAAATTTTTAATACAAAAAATTTATAAAATAATGTACATTCTGAACAATCTCGGCCATATATCCTGTCCAATTTCCATTCGACATTAACATTCCTCCAACACTCTCTCTTGGATATACGAATTCAATGCTATTTTACATTTAATAAAATTAGATTATGATAAATTGGATTTAAATACAGTATCAGTAATAATACCTGCATTTAATATATTTATACATTAGTTCGAGTATTAGTGCAAATCCATCGCATATCTCATATAAATTAGCACTTATTTTATGAATCTGTATAAGGTATAAATGTCACATCAAAATAAATCTCAGTCAAGATAATTTTAAATAGTATAATTAATAATTATACACGTTCGTTGTTGAATGCAACCCGTATACGACAATCTCTATTATCATTATCTTTTTGAAACAGACCACTTGTGTTTACCGTTTGAATACATAATCTTTGTAAATCAACCATGATTAAAACACAATATTATTAATTTAATAATTTATTATTATTACTAAATTATATTTATTGTATCGTTGATGAATTCTGTCAGAACACTTAATGTTCACATGTATTGAATATTATATGAACTAGTAAACAACATGATATATCGATTTAACTTAAATCAATTAAATAAGAATTGAGAATAATTAATTTGGACTCATCTAGTCTAAAAGAAAAATATGTTTCCCTGTTGATATAGATTTTGTCTGTAATTATATTTATGATTGATTATGCTATATTTATTATATATTTTATGATTGATTAAATAATTATATTAAATAAGTATAGTAAAAATCGATTTTACATATAATGTTGCAAGTTACATATAAATGTTACCAATAATTTTATATTAAATGTATAATAATTTAACAACGAGTGAATTAAAACATTGAAAATACTAGATCAGTATACCATATTACTGTATTCACATAATATTAATTATATACAAGATACACGTCAGACACTGTGTATTACACGAGTTTTAATTTTATCATGTCTTATCAAAATAGTGACAACAACACTAAATAAATATCTTATTGTCAACACTAATCACATATAGTGTTCACGGAAATTTGGTTTTATTATTTTCTTAAATTTAGTGTGTTTTATTTGGTTTTATTATTTATACGAAAAATTTGGTGTTATTTGTTGTTTCATCAGTAATTTTTCAAAAATTTGGTTTTATTTGGTTTTATTCCAGATCAGTTAATAAAGCATAAAACCCTTTGTGCGCTCTCATTACCAATTAAATCAATAATTTTAACTTTTTATCCATTCATTCGAAGTGTTTTTTCTTTTTGGCATGTTATTTACCGAGACTATGCACAAATTATAAAACAATTTAATAACATTCACAAAACATGTGATATTTGGTCAAATTATACACATTAATAACAACAAAAATTTGGTTTTATTTGGTTTTATTAATAAAACCAAATTTTATTATTTTTAAATTTCGTGTTTTATTTGGTTTTATTGGTTTAACCAAATAACTGTGAACACTAATCACATATCACTAGTTAATAAATTGCCTGTTTATAAAGATACATCAACATGAAAAAAACATAACTCCATTTTATTATAATATAAATTAAAAATT